TGTGCAATTATTTGTTCTTCTGTAAATTATTTACTAAAGAAATTTGCACATTATGATTTAGAAGGGTCTATACTTGTTCTGTGTTTGGAATGTTCAGTTCAATATTCAGTCTACAGTCATTGCACAAATCTTTGTTTATAATAATGGTGGTGGTATGTATGTATTAACCTTTTGAATAATTTACTATTTTACTTTTCATGTTTGGTGTATTTGTTTTGGAAATAAAGCGAATCACACTGATAAATTCAAAATGATTGTTCATTGTGGGCGGGGCGAGCAGGGCATTTGAGCATTTGTGCCTAAGATACACAAACGGCTAGAAAAGGCCCTGAATATAGAACTACAACTACTACAACTTTATTCCCACAAACTGACACGTGACTGATGTAAAACTAAGATAAATGTTGACCTCACATAAAAAACCTGAAATGAACTTTAAAGGGCTCATATTGCTTTATTTTCTGATCTATGTTATAATCTTTCCTCATCACAAACCTGGAGTTGTGTTTTGTTTCATTCACTGATGTTTAACACACAAATCCAATAGACTGAATTCTTCTCTCAAACAGAAAACACACTGTTCTACCTCGTGATTTCATGTGGTAATACAGAAAATGCTCCACTGTGTTTTTTAAATCCAGCTTCACTGGAATCATTTGGATAATTTCAGCCCGGAAAATCTCTACTAAACAAACGGTAAAAGGAACTGTTAATTTGAAAACTACCATACATGACATGACAACGTGGAGTATTTTGAGCTTTGGAGATTAGATGCAACATGTAGATGGCAAAATTACTAAATTGCTAAATGAATAGTTGTATTATTTTATATTTTATGTCCTAAATTAACATGTGGTGTGATTTTGTTTGTTGGATGCATAGATGTTCAATCATGAAGGCTCTTAACATAACACTGTAAATCCAGATAATTATTTGTGTTTCTATGTCTGAGGGTGGCATTAAAAACTAAAACTTCCTTAACTCATTTGGATTCAGTTTCACAAAGCTAAAAAGATTTGGAATAAAGGATCATTTGAGATTGAGCGCTGCAGAATCATTCATTTGCTATGGCAGACTTTGTAAAATTTTCTCTTCATGCAGTATTGATCTCTGTATTTTGTGGACTGTGTGTTGGTTTTATTTCCATTTTTCACCAAAAGCCTTCGTAAATAATGGGGAAGAATTTCTCTTTGCAATAGAATACAACACAAATAATAATATAATATAGTTTAAAATGGGCAAGACCAAAAACTCGTGCTTTTTCACACAGTTCTGCTTAAACGCTTTCAGTTCATTCTTATATTGTCACAATTTTAATTTCAGTTGTATATTGTCACAGTTTCATGATAATTAAATTTTTTTTAAGGTCAGTACTTTATTTTGTGTTCAGTGTGTACGTTTTCATTAAAGCCCCATATACATTTTTAGCCAACAGTGAAAAATCAAGAAAAACATGTGTCCTTACTGTGACCAGGTATGTATCTCCACAAACCTGACTCTTACTTGACCTGCAGGAGTTCATCCTCTTGCTTGTCTCCATGGAAATGTTGTTCCTTTTGTTATAATCTTAGCAAAAGTAGCATAAAACAGAGAAGCGCTTACTGTCAGTCCCATATACTAGTAAATTGGCCCGATCAAGCAGAAGTAAACAGCAAGGCCAAAAATTCAAGTTAATGCATCTGATATAAAAATGTATTCAACAGATACATATGTACTCTAGTTTATGAAACTGTTTACCTTTTTTCTGTACCATTTTTGGTTCTACAGTTACATGTTTTAAACAGACCATGTATGAAACATGGAACAAAAATTATTTCCCAAATTTCAAAGACCTGCAAATCATGTAAATAAATTGATGTATTTCATCATATCATGTGTTATTCTATCTTTGAACTGTTGATGAAAGTACATGATTTATTTTTTATTTTTTTATGTATTTAAAATGAAAAAAATTAGCTTGGAAGGACTGACATATTTTATAGAAATAGTTACCTTTCATTTTGAAGTAATATTAAAGTATTCGGAAGAAAAAAGTTGACAAATCATGCAAAATCATGCACCTTCTACTTGTTGCACAATTTTCCCTCTGTTACTTTTCCCTCCGTTACCATGACCTTTCTTAATAAAAAATCTCATTACTCAAAAAGTAAGAGGTTTTTCAACCTAATCTTGTACCATATGGTGGAAAACTATATTAAGCAAATATTCAAACCAGTTTGTTAAGGATATGTAAGTGAGAACCAAGAGTTATCACTGTTTGTATTTATTGCCCAAAAAGTGCTGCATATTTCATTCCCTCCGTTACCGACATAAGTTTTTAAATTTTTTGTCAACAACTTTAAAGGATATTGCAGGTTTAACTTTACACTGTTGAAGTGTTAACTCTTTCCTACATTCTAATACCTTACTTATTTCAATAGTCCCTCTAGTTTCTGAATAAGAGCTATTTGAATGTAAAAAATCTGCCCCTGTTTCCCTCCGTTACCATCTTGACCGGACCCATATATAACCAGTTCTCACAGTCACAGTAAGTCCACCGTGTTTTTCTGTACATTTATGTAACTTGAGTAAATATATAGAATCTCTCCTCTCCATGTGAATGCCATACCATACGCACCATGGCATTTGGCTCCTCTCCTTCCTCGTCACCATGGTTACCTGGCTCAAACGTCTCCTGTAGCTCTTCATTATGGTGCAGCCGCTTGATCCGAGCCCGTCGCCGGGCGGATTTGCGATGACAGCCCCGTGTAATGATGTCCAAGAGTGGGCAAAACAAAAGGTGACGTGACTTCAACTGGTCTAAGCTCCACAAACCATGACCGGTGCTGACTACACGTCTGTGTCTGACTCTGAGGAAAATATTTTGAACATTTAATCACAATCTGAGCTGTGAGTGGTGTTTTGTGGTTTGGATGACACAGAGGCATTAAGGTGTATATGACAGGTAAGACTACCAGTTTCACTGAAATGGACGTAACATAATTACAGTGTAGTATAGGTTAGACTAAAAATCTTGCCTAATTTTTGTGGTTATTTAAATTTTGGTGAAGTTTATCATTTTACTTCCTGGCTGGACACGGACAGCAGAAGTGACATATGTAGAGCTAATTCAGTGGTGAAAGAAGTACCAGATTTTGTGACTTAAGTAAAAGTACAGATAACAGAGCAAAAGAAATACTCAAGTAAGAGTATCACATGCAAAAATCGACTTTAGTAAAAGTTCAAATAAGGCTTCAAATGTAGTGATTTTGATACAAATTTGTGCTGAATTTGTTCAACAGAACCAATGGAATCAATAGTTTTTTCTTAACTGTTTGTATTTGTATATTTTGTTTGCTTCAACTATGAACATGTTAAAGATAAACCCTCAGCTTTTTCAACAGGTCTCAGATAATAATAAAAAATACTTAAAATTTTCGGTCCATTAAAAATGTGGTGGATTACATAGTACAGATACCTGCTCTCAGATGTAGTGAAGTAAAAGTAAAAAGAATTCACTTTAAAATGCCCTTAAGTAAAGTACAGATACCTACTTTTTTTTTTTTTTTTTTTTACAGAGGAGAGGCCAGAATTGTTGTTTTACATAGTGCACCTTTAATATCCAACAGAAGGGTATTAGGAGTTTAAAGTACAAGAGCTCAGAGTTCGTAGTGAAAATACAGGCTCAGCTGTCTGGAGAAGATCAGAAGTATCGAATATGATTTCACTTTAATCAGTGCGCTGTCAGCTTGCTAGTTGTTAGTATTACAGTGATGGCAAATCTTTGGCCTCTAAAAATGCGTATAAACTTGTGAACTAATATGTTTAGAATGCAGAGAATGGTAAAAGCATGCATTAGCAAAGTGAGGAATAGGTTTGGACCACTGTAAATGTTTGAAGGGCCCATGTGACATGATTTTCTGATCTCTTTTTGTTTTTTTCTCATCAAAAACATTCTTGGAGCTGTGTTTTGTTTCATTCTCAAATGTTGAACACACAAACCCTGCATATTCAAAATGATTTCTTCTTTCAGACAGAAAACAACGCACCTCGTGTTGTCATGTGGTAATGCGGAAAGTGCTCTACTGTGTTTTTAAACTCCATACACATCTGCTATAATTTGGATAATTTCAGCCACAGACTTGCCAAACTCTGCAATTAAAAGTAAAAGTAAAAGTTAGTTCTTAACTTAAAAACTACCGCTTCATTACACAAACATGTGTGAATGAAACAAAACACAACTCCAGGTATATTTTTGAGTGTTGTGAGTTTTGTGTAATATAAGAAGTGTTCTCCTTTGGTACCACTTTATAAAAGTGTTTGATCACATGGACAGTTGGTGTTGTAATTATTTGATGTTTACACAGTAGGGCATGCAAAACCTTTTACAGATGTGTTGTGTATTTTGTTGTGTTTAATCTAATGAACTCATTTTATTTTGCACAATAATCAGATTTGATTTCACTCATAAAGTGCTCACAGTAGAATGTTCAGTCGACAGTTTGGGCTCTGCTTCAGATCCAGGAGCTCCTGGACGTCTGCCTCCTTCAGGTTGTTCCCCCACAGGATAAACTCTGTCAGGTACGAGGGGTTGGACTTCAGAGCCGAGGCCAAGAGGCTACAGCTGGACTCTGGTAAACTGCAGTTATTCAGTCTGAAATAGAATAGAAGAAATAAAAATAGAAATAGAATAGAAATGGACTCTGACCGTTGCAGAGTACTTGTACATATCATACGTATAATAAAATAAACATTATGGTTGTTTTAGAGATGTTTTTGTAATATATTTAAATAAAAATAATTTGCAGTAGCAACAGTCGCCAAGGCCTTTGAACATTCTACATCATCGCCATGACAATATAATGTCAAAGTACAAGTTTTGTGCTGGCGTTACATTTCTCCGTCATATCACTTCTGACACTCTACAGACGAGACGCACTGCAAACTGCTCTAGTCAAACTCTTCACCTTCTGTGTGAAACTTTTCCCTGACTAAAGTCATTATGTCGGCAAAACTGCAAATAATCTTTGCTCTCACAGAGGCCTTTGAGGTCGAAATCAACCACTGGAGAGAGCAAGACAAACAGTGGTCGGCTGAGAAAAAGGCCTTCCTAGAAAGAGAGGAGAGGAGAAGAGAGGAAGCGCTCAAAAGAGAGCTGCTCTACAGAGATAGAGAGGAACAGTGGAGCGTCAAACAAAAGGCCTGGTGTGAGGAGAGGAAGGCCTTAATGGAGAGACAGGAGGACCTGCTGAGGAAAGTCAGTGCTCTGGAAGAGTTACTTTCCAAAGCTCATCAGCTGTCTGACCCTCTTCAGGAGCAGAAAGAGGAGGACCTCTTAGACCTCCAGGTAAAAAGTCCTGCAATGATGGACCAACCAGCTCCATCAGAGCCCCAGCCCCCTTTAGAGCCCACTGTTGTTGTCATAAACTCTACTCCGGTTAAAGTGAAGCCCACTCTGAAAAGAGATGCTAAAACTGAGGACAGAGTGGACGATGATGCTGGTGCCTTTGTGTACCACTTTGGTCCTGCTGTTTTGAAACACTGGTGGAGACTGGCCGACATGCACAGTGTCAAAGTGGCAAAGGTGAAGGAGGGGGGATCTTCTATGAAATGGATCACCAAGATGAAGAGGAAATGGTGGAGCTCCAAGCACTAGAGCTCCTGCCTCTGACAACACAACATGTTCATGTAAATAAAGAATGTCTTTTAAAAAGTTGATTTGTTGTGTAGATTTTTATGGAATGCAAACTGTGAATGGATATATGTGTGAATGTGTTTAAAGTCATTTTGTGAAAATTTCAGTCTGGTTGCGGTGAATGTGATCATGACTCATGATGAACTACATACATGACTGAAGTGGTACAGTACTTTCTATGAGAGTGAAATGGTTGCCAAGAATAAAAAACTCATAAAAAGTCAGATCATTATGACTGATTAGCTTGAATCCTTTGAGTTTCCTGTGTGGAAGCAAAGGAGCTTTTCATGTGTAACAGATCAATTCAACTCACTCTAGTGTCTCAAGTCTACAATCTGGATTCTGTAGAAAACTGCACAGATGCTCCACCGCTGACCTGGTCATCTTATTAAACCCAAGGTCCAGTTTTTTTAAATGCAAAAGGTTGGACTTGAGAGCTGAGACCAAAGCCAAACAGCCTGATTCCATCAAACTGCATCGGTACAATCTGCATAGAGAAAAATGATTTATTAGTACATATGGAAGTATGAGGTACTTGCAGTAGTGGCCTCCTCTCTATCAGAGTCACTTTATTTATGATATGGCCTTTGCAGAGGAGGAGGTGCCACCATGTTCCACAGGCAGAACATTGTGCATGTGTACAGTGTATATCTACATCCAGGCCCTGCCCTGAGCAGTGACATACACTATACAGACAGTCCACACTCACATGAGCGTCTCCAGCTGACAGTGTGGGCTCTGCAGGACAGCACACAGGTGAGCCACACTGGAGTCATTCAGCACATTACCGCCCAGGGCGAGTTCTCTGAGGTGGGAGGGGTTGGACTTCAGAGACAAGGCCAGAGAAGAACTACTGGACGGTGGAATCTCCCCTGTGAGCCATCTCATGAAAGAATCAAACATTTTAGCTCAATCCCTTGAGTTGTTTCTGAGTTATGGCCCTTTAGAATTTTGGGGCTATGCCCAATTTTTCGGATACCTGAATTTATAAGCATTTTTGAGAGACCATAACTTCCTAAAAAATAGAGCTAGGAAGCAGAACATTTGTATTACAGTAGATTCTGGGTCATAGATTCTAATCTGGGTGTCTTTATTAAGGGGGAGTACTACTGGCCCCCAAAATCTCAAATTTGGATGCAGGATTCTTTTTTTTTTTTCAGTTTTTGAGATCCAAGATCTATTTACTCCAAGCTAATGTTTACAAACTAACCTGAACCTGAATGTTTGAGAGAATGACCATTTCTGACAACAATCTCACACTTTTCTGAGCTTTCATGTGGATGGTGTAGAGCCCCAAATATGGTCCCAGACCAGATTTAAGCTTTTTGGCCCCTTCTTTGGCCCCTCAGTTCCCCATGTGGGCACTGTTAGATGTTGAAAAACTTTGACATATTCTGATTATTTTATGGGCTCTGCTTCAGATCCAGGAGCTCCTGGACGTCTGCCTCCTTCAGGTTGTTCCCCCACAGGATAAACTCTGTCAGGTACGAGGGGTTGGACTTCAGAGCCGAGGCCAAGAGGCTACAGCTGGACTCTGGTAAACTGCAGTTATTCAGTCTGAAATAGAATAGAAGAAATAAAAATAGAAATAGAATAGAAATGGACTCTGACCGTTGCAGAGTACTTGTACATATCATACGTATAATAAAATAAACATTATGGTTGTTTTAGAGATGTTTTTATAATATTTTTAAATAAAAATAATTTGCAGTAGCAACAGTCGCCAAGGCCTTTGAACATTCTACATCATCGCCATGACAATATAATGTCAAAGTACAAGTTTTGTGCTGGCGTTACATTTCTCCGTCATATCACTTCTGACACTCTACAGACGACACGCACTGCAAACTGCTCTAGTCAAACTCTTCACCTTCTGTGTGAAACTTTTCCCTGACTAAAGTCATTATGTTGGCAAAACTGCAAATAATCTTTACTCTCACAGAGGCCTTTGAGGTCGAAATCAACCACTGGAGAGAGCAAGACAAACAGTGGTCGGCTGAGAAAAAGGCCTTCCTAGAAAGAGAGGAGAGGAGAAGAGAGGAAGCGCTCAAAAGAGAGCTGCTCTACAGAGATAGAGAGGAACAGTGGAGCGTCAAACAAAAGGCCTGGTGTGAGGAGAGGAAGGCCTTAATGGAGAGACAGGAGGACCTGCTGAGGAAAGTCAGTGCTCTGGAAGAGTTACTTTCCAAAGCTCATCAGCTGTCTGACCCTCTTCAGGAGCAGAAAGAGGAGGACCTCTTAGACCTCCAGGTAAAAAGTCCTGCAATGATGGACCAACCAGCTCCATCAGAGCCCCAGCCCCCTTTAGAGCCCACTGTTGTTGTCATAAACTCTACTCCGGTTAAAGTGAAGCCCACTCTGAAAAGAGATGCTAAAACTGAGGACAGAGTGGACGATGATGCTGGTGCCTTTGTGTACCACTTTGGTCCTGCTGTTGTGAAACACTGGTGGAGACTGGCCGACATGCACAGTGTCAAAGTGGCAAAGGTGAAGGAGGGGGGATCTTCTATGAAATGGATCACCAAGATGAAGAGGAAATGGTGGAGCTCCAAGCACTAGAGCTCCTGCCTCTGACAACACAACATGTTCATGTAAATAAAGAATGTCTTTTAAAAAGTTGATTTGTTATGTAGATTTTTATGGAATGCAAACTGTGAATGGATATATGTGTGAATGTGTTTAAAGTCATTTTGTGAAAATTTCAGTCTGGTTGCGGTGAATGTGATCATGACTCATGATGAACTACATACATGACTGAAGTGGTACAGTACTTTCTATGAGAGTGAAATGGTTGCCAAGAATAAAAACTCATAAAAAGTCAGATCATTATGACTGATTAGCTTGAATCCTTTGAGTTTCCTGTGTGGAAGCAAAGGAGCTTTTCATGTGTAACAGATCAATTCAACTCACTCTAGTGTCTCAAGTCTACAATCTGGATTCTGTAGAAAACTGCACAGATGCTCCACCGCTGACCTGGTCATCTTATTAAACCCAAGGTCCAGTTTTTTTAAATGCAAAAGGTTGGACTTGAGAGCTGAGACCAAAGCCAAACAGCCTGATTCCATCAAACTGCATCGGTACAATCTGCATAGAGAAAAATGATTTATTAGTACATATGGAAGTATGAGGTACTTGCAGTAGTGGCCTCCTCTCTAACAGAGTCACTTTATTTATGATATGGCCTTTGCAGAGGAGGAGGTGCCACCATGTTCCACAGGCAGAACATTGTGCATGTGTACAGTGTATATCTACATCCAGGCCCTGCCCTGAGCAGTGACATACACTATACAGACAGTCCACACTCACATGAGCGTCTCCAGCTGACAGTGTGGGCTCTGCAGGACAGCACACAGGTGAGCCACACTGGAGTCATTCAGCACATTACCGCCCAGGGCGAGTTCTCTGAGGTGGGAGGGGTTGGACTTCAGAGACAAGGCCAGAGAAGAACTACTGGACGGTGGAATCTCCCCTGTGAGCCATCTCATGAAAGAATCAAACATTTTAGCTCAATCCCTTGAGTTGTTTCTGAGTTATGGCCCTTTAGAATTTTGGGGCTATGCCCAATTTTTCGGATACCTGAATTTATAAGCATTTTTGAGAGACCATAACTTCCTAAAAAATAGAGCTAGGAAGCAGAACATTTGTATTACAGTAGATTCTGGGTCATAGATTCTAATCTGGGTGTCTTTATTAAGGGGGAGTACTACTGGCCCCCAAAATCTCAAATTTGGATGCAGGATTCTTTTTTTTTTTTTTTCAGTTTTTGAGATCCAAGATCTATTTACTCCAAGCTAATGTTTACAAACTAACCTGAACCTGAATGTTTGAGAGAATGACCATTTCTGACAACAATCTCACACTTTTCTGAGCTTTCATGTGGATGGTGTAGAGCCCCAAATATGGTCCCAGACCAGATTTAAGCTTTTTGGCCCCTTCTTTGGCCCCTCAGTTCCCCATGTGGGCACTGTTAGATGTTGAAAAACTTTGACATATTCTGATTATTTTAAGTGAGCTCTCACAGGTCATTTTAAGTGGAGCTTTTCCACCTGCTCGAGAGGTTAAATCACCTTTAATCGCCTTAAACACTAAGGAGGGAGGCTGATTTGATCTGGACGGACCCTCTATTCCACCTTGTGCCCCACTGTGTTTTTAAACCCCATACTCCTTCACTAGAATCATTTGGATAATTTCAGACCTGGAACTAATCAAATTCTCCTGAACAAAAGGTTAAAGATAGTTACTTCTATATCACATCACAAAGTGGAGCAGAGCAATTTGATCTCTGGAGATGTAAACAGACTGATACTTAAAGGATTACTCAGACATGTGAATGAAACAAAACACAACCCCATGATTGTTTTTGATGAGGTAACAACATTATAACATGGCTTAAAGAGTCCATTTTGCACAATATAGAACCTTTAACTACCTCACCCATATGTTTCCCCTTGCAGTCGTCCTTGGAAATACCACTTTATTAATGATGTAGAGTAAGAATACATTTCTGTCCCTGGGGTCTCCATCATTGTAAGAAAATGTCATCTTTTTATCATTGTGTGCCCAGAGTCTCACACTGGCCCATAAAATGTCCATTGTGTCTGTACAATGTAATAAGTGTCATGTAAAGAAAGCCTCCTATAGCCCCAAGTATGTGCAGGAGTCACATGACCATATATGGGCACGTATGGATGGGCTGGTCTCAAGATCTATAAGAGGAGAACTGGAGCATGAAAGGAGAGGTGAGAGAAATGTACAATGTTATTTTTTAAATACTTTTTATGTATTCAAGTTTGTTTTTGTTTTTTTTCCACAATAATAACACAACTTGGGACACTGCTTAAATACAATAGAGGCATATAATAATAATAATAATAATAATAATAATAATAATAATAATAATAATAATAAAACACAATACGCTTTGCAAACAATAGGCAAGCAATAGAAAGGTGAATTAGGTCTCATGTTCTGTCCATTTTGTCCAGCGCTTTATAAAGATATGTCCCTTGAGTCATAGTAAACAGTCAGTCTCTCCATACAGTATATTTCTTCTATAATTTCTAGCCTATGATTCACATGAAGTGGGGCCTATTTAAGTCAGGCCCTTGTAATAATTGCTTTCCTTGAGGCAATTGAAAGAATTTAGGGGAAAAAAATGTAATATCTTATTGGAGATGGTGTTCTTTAAGGGGCCCATATTATGCTATTTTCTAATCTATACTATAATGTTGTTTACTCATCACAAACATACATAGAGTTGTGTTTTGTTTCGTTCAAACATGTTAAACACACATCAGCCCAATATATTTAGGCCAGGCATGTCCAAACTATGGCCCGTTGGCCAAATGTGGCCCTCAGACAAATTTTTCTCGGCCCTCAGGCTTCCAGGTGAATTGGCCCAAATTACCTTGCATCAATTAAAACTGAACTTTTTACGGCAAGTTTTTTGAAAATCTACGTTGACAAAGGAAATATCTAATATTTAGTGTGTGGTTTTAAGAATCTTAGAATGAGCCATTAATCTTTATTCATTCTACCGTGTTAAACATGCCCATTTTTCAATTATTTACTGTTTTGAGCACCAGTCTACGGCCCTCGATCGACCCTCTGATTCGTTTGTGTTTAGATATGTGGCCCTTGATGAAAAACGTTTGGACACCCCTGATTTAGGCCAAGTTCTTCTCTAAAACAGAAAACACTCTGTTCCACGTTGTAATGTCATGTAGTAACACAGGAAGTGCTCCATGTGCTTTAAACTCCATACACCTTTACTACAATCATTTGGATAATTTCAGAACTGGTTTTGTCAAACTCTACTGAACTAAAAGTAAAAAGTTGCTGTTAACTTGAAAAATACTGCTTCATGATGATGTAGAGTATTTGGTGTGGAATCTCATGAATAGAAATTGATTTAATCAGATATAGTATTATAAAAAAAAACTGTAATCAGTCTTCAGATAAACAATCCACTGATTATATAAGAGGCAATCATGCAATGGTGACTCATTCTGTTTATTACAGAAATAAAAACACAATTGTTTCCATTACAAGCGAATTGGTACATTTGCCAAAAAGTGTGTGATAAGAATTTCGAGAGGAGGGAGGAACAATACAAAATTTACTACTAATAATTTTATACCATTTATACCATTACTTAAAGTCCCTGTACCCATTTTTCCTGTATATTTGCACAAAATTTGTCTTGCCCCAGTAAGTAATAACTAACTCTGTCACATAATGTCTGTCTAATTATAAAGTGTTAAATCTTAAATAATCAGGAAGTTTGCGTTAGCATGCTAGTTGTTGTTAGTGACGGCAAAATTCTGGTCCCGTCTCTTAAAGTTGAGAGTTGAAAATGCATTTTGACTTCGAGGGAATTACTGAAAACACTTTTAGATGATGTTTTGGAGTAGCTAAAAATAGGCCTGTGTTGTTCGGAAAGGGAACTGAATCGAGCGAAAAGCATGATATTAAAGGATGAGTACACAATCAAAAGTCAACCAAGGGTGTAATACAAAAATGATGCACATGAAGCACTGAACAAATAATTTACATAGGCAAATGAGAGAGGGCTGGACCTGACCCCGAGCTTTAGATCTGAGTCACTGGTTTCACTCTGCAGCATCCAGTCGTGTCATTAGTGAACTCCATCCACCTTCAGGTTTAATTGAAATATTCTGCCTTAGCAATTTAGATGGAAAATGATTATTATAACAAATAGGCAGCGTGTCATGATCCCTGTCGGTTTAACTAAAATGAAAGACTCACTTTTAAGACCATTTTGTCATGATTCACATTTTCAAAGGTCCTCTATTACATTAATTGACTCTTGTGAGCTTCAAGTCATGTTAGAATGTGATTACCTCCTCAAAAACATAGCTGAAGTTGTGTTTTGTTTCATTCACATGTTTGAGTAATCCAGCATTATTACTCTGTTTACATCACCAACGCTCAAAATGCTCTGTTCCAGCTTGTGATGTCATGAAGTGGTAGTTTTCAAGTTAACATCTACCTTTTGCCTTTTGTTCAATAAAGATTATCCAAATGATTCTAGTGAAGATCTCTGGAGCACTTCCTGTATTACCGCATGACATGACAAGTGTTTTCTGTTTGAGAGAAACCCCAGGTATAGACTTAAACAAACTTTCTTGATCCACAAAGGAAATTATTTGGACACAGTAGCTCACACATCACAATATAATATAATAAACATAAGTGTGAGTTGTTGTACAGTTGTAGGGAGTATTATCTATTACATCAGGGTGAGTTGTCGTACAGTTGTAGGGAGTATTATCTGTCACATAAGTGTGAGTTGTCGTACAGTTGTAGGGAGTATTATCTGTTACAGAAGTATTATCTATACACAGTGTTGGGAAGGTTACTTTAAAAATGTATTCCCCTACAGATTACAGATTACATACCCCAAAATGTAGTTTGTAACGTAATCCATGAAGTTACTTAAAGTGAGTAACATAATCTGAATACTTTGGATTACTTGGTTTAGTCCTGGTTTTAGTCCTGGTTTAGTCCTGTTTTTTTGTCTTGGTTTAGTCCTGGTTTAGTTCTGGTTTAGTCCTGGTTTAGTCCTGGTTTTAGACCTGCTTTTAGTCCTGATTTAGTCCTGATTTTAGTCCTGGTTTTAGTCCTGGTTTAGTTCTGGTTTTAGTCCTGGTTTAGTCCTGGTTTTAGACCTGCTTTTAGTCCTGATTTAGTCCTGATTTTAGTCCTGGTTTTAGTCCTGTTTTTTTTGTCTTGGTTTAGTCCTGGTTTAGTTCTGGTTTAGTCCTGGTTTAGTTCTGGTTTTAGTTCTGGTTTTAGTCCTGGTTTTAGACCTGGTTTTAGACCTGGTTTTAGTCCTGATTTAGTCCTGATTTTAGTCCTGGTTTAGTCCTGTTTTTTTGTCTTGGTTTAGTCCTGGTTTAGTTCTGGTTTAGTCCTGGTTTAGTCCTGGTTTTAGTCCTAGTTTTAGACCTGGTTTTAGACCTGGTTTTAGACCTGGTTTTAGACCTGGTTTTAGTCCTGATTTAGTCCTGATTTTAGTCCTGGTTTAGTCCTGGTTTAGCCCAAAATATGAAAACAGGAAAATACCTCTGTGTAATCCATTTATTTCAACAAAGTAACTGTAATCTGATTACCACTCACTGAAACAGTAACTGTAACTGAATACAGTTACTCATAATTTGTACTCTGATTACGTAACTCCGGTACATGTAATCTGTTACTCCCCAACACTGTGTATACATAAGAGTGAGTTGTTGTACAGTTGTAGGGAGTATTATCTGTTAAATAAGGGTTGTTGTACAGTTGTAGGGAGTATTATCTGTTACATAAAGGGTGAGTTGTTGTACAGTTGAGTAATATGGGCCCTTTTAATGTCAATTTCTGTAAAAAGTGATCATGACTTTGGTAAACCTATGTATTTTGAGACACCAATCGTCAAGCATCAGGGCTGCATTTTCAGCCTTTCACCAGAGGAGGGCAGCACCGCTTCATTAACGCGTGTGACTCAAGTTTGCATATATTTACTGTCATGTTTTCCTCACTTCTGTAAGTTCTAAAGCGACGTGAGGAGTACATTGTTAGGAAACACACTCTAAAACCACACTTGAGAGAGTGAAATCAAACCAGAGCTGATGTACTTCACATG